TTTCCTCCTGAGTTGGTTTTAGTAAGCTATATTTTTCTATTTTCAAATTTATTGGCAAAAAGTTGTTAAAATGGTTTCTTTTAAAGTTCAAAAATATTGTTCTATCTTTTCAACCTCTTCAGTATCTGTAATTATATCTTGTTTTTGATTTCTAATATTATTTGTACTTTCTTTTTTGTGCCTTGATTGGTTTTTAAAGAGGTTTGTATTTTCAATGACTAAACTCTTGGCATTGATGCTCCTCTATTTTTTATTTAACTGTATATAATACATTTTATGTATACAAATATATATATATAATTTATATATATAATACAAACTATTAATATCAAATATTATTTATATATAAATAAAAGTTTATATATAATGTATATATTGTATAATATATATTATACAATGTGTTGCTTATTTTATTATTTCTACTCTTTGCTTTTGTTCTGCAGTTCTAACACCTTAAGTTGGATGCTTAACTCATTAATTTTCAGACTTTCTTCTTTTCTAAGTGTTTTGGTTATAAATATAATATATGCAGAAAAGAGCATAACACATAATTGTTTGCCTACACCTTATAAAGCAAACACCCATGTAACTATCACAGGTCAAGAAAAAGAACATTACCAGCAGTCTAGAATATCACTGAGTTCGAAATCACAAACCTCTGTCTTCCCCCAGAGGTAACTACTATTTTGGTTTTTATACCACTGGAAGCAGAAAACATGTATTTTTGCTTCTTTCCTCTCTCCTATGGTTGTGAGTTTCCTCCATGTTCTAGAGGTAGCTGCAGTTACTTTCCTCTTATTGGTGAGTAGTACTCCACTGTATGCCTGTACTACAATTTATCCCCTCAGCTGTCGATGGACATTTGGGTTATTCCATTGCTATCACAAGCCATGCTACTGTGGCTTGTCACATGTCTCAGTGCACATGCACATGATTTTCTCCAGGGTTTACAATACGGAGTGGAATTGCTGGGTCCCAAGGGATGTCTCATAAAACTCGGTAATACAAATTTCAAACTCAATCGTCTCTGTTGCTCCATATCCTCACCAACATTTGGTATTGTCAGATTCTAGAGTTTTGGCAATCTGGTAGACTTATAATGGTATGTCAGGGTGGTTTTAATTTACATTTTCCTGATGGCTAATCAAGTTTAACATCTTTTCATATGTCTATTGACAATTTAGATTTCCTGTTTTTGAAGAGACTTGTGAAGGATTTGACCATTTTCCCATTGGGGCATCAGCTTTTTCTTTTTCTTTTCTTTTTTTGTTTTTTTTAAAAGATTTTATTGGGGAAGGGGAACAGCGCTGGGGAATCGGGGAAGGGGAACAGACAAGCTGCTGTCCTTTTGTTCTTCAGTCTAGTTGTGAAGGACACCGCTTCACTGGCCCATGTTGGTATTATGATCATTGCACTCTTCCTGACTGAGGCAGTTGGTTGCCTGCATTGGACGGCTGCTCACGGCAGCTCACAACAGCCCGTTGCAACAGGGGCTGCAGCCTATGCCATCGCAGGCCACTCATGGCAGCTCAGCTCCAGGTCGAGCTGTTGTTCACCATCTTAGCTGTACAGGGTGCAACATCACTGGCCCATGTGGGAACCGAACCGGCAGCCCTGCTGCTCAGAGCTCGTGCTCCCAAGCCAGTTCTTAACCAACGGAGCCACTCGGCCAGCCTCCTCAGCTTTTTCTTATTGACTTATAGAAGTTCTTTATAGGTCATCAGTATAAACCCTTTCTTAGTTTTACGTATTGCAGATATCTTTTTCTATCTTGTAGCTTGTTTTATCTCTCTCAAATTTTTATGGTATCTTTTGATAAACAAAAGTTCTTATTGCAATTTGGTCAAATTTATCAAACTTCTCCTTTATGGTCAGGGAGTTGTTTCTATGTCTTGGTAGGAAATGTTTGCATCTTTTTAAAGAAAATTGTTTCATTGAAGTGCTGTGACATTAGTATCCCAAGTTATCTTTTAAAAGCTTTATAGTTTGTCTTTACAATTACATCTATAATCTATCTGGAATTAATGAGAGAGGTACATTAAAGTCCATCACAATGATTTTTGCTTTGTCCCTTTTCTTATTCTATTTTTGTTTTATATAGGTCCAGGCTATGTTATAAAGTGCATGTAAATTAAAAATTGTTATATCTCCCAGGTGAAGAAAATCTTTTATCATTATGAGGTTACCTTCTTTATCCTTAGTAATGGTTTTGCCTTAAAGTCAACTTTGTCAGATAATAATTATACCTAACTCAGCTTTTAGGGGATTAGCATTTTCTTATTTATTTATTTATATTAAACTCATTCATGTAAATTCTGCATTTAAAGATCACTTATTTTCACAGAGAGTATTGAGTGTTACATCATATATTTTGTAAATTCAACTTGATACACAACTCTAATTTTTATTTCTGCTCTATTTCTTTGATAGACAAAACTTTATAGGTCATGCTGATTATTACTTTCTTTTTCCCTCATCCATTCACCTCCAAAATTCTTATTACTTCTTGGGATTTACAGACTGTGATCCACTACTTGTGATCACCGCATCATGATACAGATTCGCCTTATGTAATAGGAATTTCCGGATTTTCCTCTGACCCAGAATTCTTAGGATCTTTTTCCTCTGCCTTCTTCAGGGCTTAACGACTCATGCCTTTTGAACTTCACTTAATGACTGATTTTTATCTTTATTTTGAAAAACAAAAAAGCACCCTCATGAGTATTAGTCTCTCCTGGGATAACCCAAGGTGTCCATTGTGTTTAGACGTTTCTCTGGACAAATTGGGATGGGAAAGATGACCCTGAGAGAGCAGGTGTTTTGTGGCTGGGAACATCACATTTTCCTGTCTTACAGAGGTTCTGCGGATGCAGCAGAATCAGACTTTCTCCCAAATTTCAAGGTCATTGCCTTGGCAGTCGGCTCACTGTGGGAGGCCTGACAGGAGCTCTCTCCACCTGAGGCGGCTCATCTGGCTCTAGTCTCACCTTATCTGACAGTTTACCCTGGATACCCTATTACCAGAGCACAAAGACTATCAGGCTCAGATCTAGAGCTGCTTTCCCTAAAACAATGAAGACAGAAAGATTTGTCTTTTTATAGTGAAATATAATAGAATTGACAAGCAGTTAAAAGTAAGGTAAGATAAGGCAAGCTCAGAAACAATGGAGTAAATCACCTTTAGAATTTGTTGACAAGCCTTTGAAAACTAAAGTGACAGGACTTTGAATGGAGACTGCAGGAACATGAAAACACTGATCACATGTGTCAAACTATTTCCCCACAGCATATTTCTTTACTGAACGAGGCAGATATCATACACACATACATGCATGCACGCGCTTTCTACTATATAAACAGACTAAATTAAAAACTATTAAATAACAAATTAAAGAAAATGATCAAATGATCCCAGTGGGCACATGCAAGGCCCTGTGTTTACTGCAGGACAGACAACGGGCCAGAGAGGAAAAGTTTCTGACAAACCAAATATTGTAGAGGAAAATAGATGAGAATATGATTGGAAAGCACAACTTGTCAAATAGAGTGTTGTTTGTGCATCTGCTTTTCTGCCAGACAGAGGATAAAGGTCATTCCTAAACCTAGACAAATGGGTAATGCAAATAAAAAGTGAAAGTATCACAATGCAAATAACGATGACCTCTGTAGTAAAGCTAAAAAAAAATAGGAATGGAAGACTTGCCCTACTGGGTCATACCCATAAAAATTAATCCCAGGAAGGACTGCCCTGACAATAGAAGTACTGGGCTCCCTCCCCACCTTGGATTCCACCCCATCTTTATAACCATTTCCTTATATAAATCTCAACCACTTTGTCTTGCTAGCCCTCCAGTTTGCTCACCCAGCAAATTCCAACCCTATTAGTATTTTAAAAATAAAATATTATGCCACTACCCAAAATGTTATACTTCAGTATATTCCAAGGAACTCTAAATAAGTTGTCTTCACAACTCCCACACACCTGCTTCATCTACCTGTTTAGACCCTATAAGATTTGATTTTGCAACTGCAAGTTTAGAGCCTACTACCAATAATCTCGCCATCTTTTACCAATAAACAGAACACAGGAAACATTATTAACAAACTTAGCAAAATTCTCTTACTGAAGAATTCTCTTGCTAAAACCCAGAGCACTGTTATATATGGAGAGCAAAGCTTTAATGATGTAAGTTCATGTTCATTTTTTGAATAAACTGATTTCACCTCTTGCCATTGCACCCAAGGAATGGTGTTTCTATTTTTTAAACTTATGTTGCCTAACAAAATGACTTCATAAAAAATGAAGGTCCTTGGATAGAAAGCCTGTGTGACATAAACCAGATGCATAAGATTTACCTGCATCTCTAGTTCACTTATCAAATGTCCCCCCACCCCCCAAGGGACTGGAACTTTGAATTCATTGTTAAAGTTTTGGTTAAAAAAACTAGAATTCTGAAGAAATGATCCCAAGTAGAAAAAAACAAAACTGTTTTTGGTTGTTAAACAACCTTTTCAAGGACTTTTAAGTGACATTAGAGATCATTCAATCCAATTCCTTTCTTTTAGATATATCGCAACAATTCAAGAATACACAAAGTTTATTCCATGCTGTGTTTTCTGTTTTGAAGTCATCAGAGCCTCTTAAAAAATTAACCACTGTGGGGAGGAGACAGCAGAGGATCGGCTTCAAATATTGGAAATCACACTGTAGTTTTCCTATTGTTTGGGGAATAACTCTTACTTGGAAATATTTCAAGGAGTTCATTTTAAGCTCACTCTCATCTCAAGTGATGTGATTTATTATGATTGATTAGCTAATGAATATCCGTGTCCTCCCATACATCTCCCAGCTCCCTTGCAGTTAGGTGGATCTATGTGACTAGTTATGACGAATGAGCTGTGTGTAGAAGTGACATATGTTACTTCTGGGACGAAGCTCAGACAGAAGAGCACTTGTTACTGTTTAATGCCTCTCTCTTTTCCTGCCACCACCACAACAGAGGCCAAATGTCGAGACGGTGTAACCAAAAGATGGAAATGATCTGGATGTCAGGCTTGCTTCGAAGGGAGCTGCCTAGAAGAGCCACGGTACCTGCAGCCAACTTCATGTGAGTGAAAAGTAAACTTTAATGGGTTGACCAATAAAAGTTTGGCGTTGTTTATTTCTGCAGCATAACCTAGTCTATCCTGGTTATCACATTAAAAATACAATTTTCATTAGCCATGTTTTGAACCTTCCACAATTATCTAAAACATAATTATAATCTTTGACATTCATACAGATTTGAAAGGTTAATATTTATAACAGTAAAACATCTCATGTCAAAAAAAACTGACAGTGAGGGAATTCTTATTTTATTTTTTATGTTGCGTGAGAAGAGAGCCCAATAGAAAATTATATCGCCTATGACTAATGCAAAACATGGTCAGATTTAATCTTAACATCTTGATTAAAGCTGAATAATGGGGTAACCAAAAATATTTTTGTTTGTTTAGTTTATAAGATTGTCAATTTGCTATCTTTATCAGCACAGACTAAGCCATGTTGGAGAACAGCACAAAACTTCTTGGAGACTAAGAAATATATTTTTCTTTTAACATTTTCTTTTAAATTCCTTAATGAGATGGAGTGATTAATTTTAATTTGTTTTCACAAAATTGAGAGTCATAACTTGAGTAATGTGCTCTAAGCCATACAACAAATTACTGGAGAGGGCAATACCAAAACCCCAATTCTCTTTGTTTCCGGTATGTCTGTGCTTCCTAGAAAACTCACAGGATGGTAAGTGGGAGGAGATGAAAAAGTTGAGGTTAGACTTCTACTTCCAGGAATGATGAGTTAAGTAATTTAGACAAATCTTCCCATTGAAGGTAACTAAAATGCTGAACAAAAGATAAAATCATCTTTCTAGAAATAACAAACTAACAAATAGTGAGAAATAGTAATTAAGAACAAGTAATGGAGAGGCTTAACAGTGCCTTTGGGGCAAGGGAGACAAAAGTTGAAGTCTAGGGTCCACCAGAGGTAAGTGTTTTCATGCTGAGTTGGGACTAAAAGGTCAGACACTAGAAGTAAGGGTGAATTGAAAGTAAACCAGCTCTTGCATGTGCTGCAGACTGCCTTTGAATCATCTGGGTATCCCAGAAAATCTGAAGCCATAAAACTAGAATAGGGTAATCTTGGGCTGTTGGGACCTCCAACTGCCTGGCAGAAGCAATAAAAATTCTCTTCGTAGAAGGAGAACATCATAGCGGGCCTCAAATTATTTTACAAATAATAAAGAATACAATTGTCAGGATACAGTAAAAAAAATAACCAGGTATACAAGATGATCAAACACCATGAACAAGAAAAATAAAATAAAACAGACCCTCAAGGATTGTAAAGCAACTATGCTTATCAAGTTCAAGTAAATAAAAGTGAAGCTTGAATATTTTAGCAGAGAACTACAAAGTATATTTAAAAATTACATAGCAGAATTGAAAAAGAACCAAATAGAAATTCTAATAGTAAAAATTAGAGTAACCTAAATTAAATCAATGGATGAATTTAAGAACAAATTAGACAGAGTTAATTAGTATATACAAAGACAGGTCAGAAGAAACCATTCAGAATGAAGCACAAAGAAAAAAAGGAATGGAAAAAGAAAAAGACAGAGTAGAATGAAAATATCCAACATGTTCAATTGGAGTCATAAAAGAATGTACGGGATAGAAGCAACATTCTATTAATGAGATAATAACTGGAGATTTTTCAGCTCTAGATGTCAACTCACAAATTCAAGAAGCCCTATGAATCACAAGAAGAATCATAAAGAGAAAGCCACACATAGACACATCACAGGGAACAAAGAAAACCAAAAGCAAAGAGAAACTAAGAGCAGCCAGAGGCAAAAAGACAGTTTACTTCCAAAGAAGCAATAGTTTGACTGTTGTAGTCTCAGCAGCAATTATGGAAGCCAAAATATTAAGAAATGATACCTTTAATGTCCTGAAGTAAATATCTGCCAACCTAGAATTACATACCCAGTGAAAATATCACTAAAACGCTGTGTAAAAATAAACACTTTAATTCAATAATTAAATCTTTCCCCGCTTGCACCTGCTGCAGGTAAAATCTGTGTGGACTGCTTTTCTTTCCTCAATCACCTTCTTTCTGACCTATAAGCTATGTGCTCTCTGTTAGTAAGGCTGCAGGGAGCCAGGATAGAAATGAGAACAGGAGTGGTAGGAGGGCTAGATGAGGGGTAAGGATGTTCTTACGTGGTTAACATTTTTGTAAGATGGCTTCACATTCTCTAGGGCTAATAAATGTTTGAAACTGGTTCTCTTATGGGCAATTTCTGGAATTCTTCATGAATATCCATTGGGTTGTCCATAGTTTTCTTATTGATTTGTGAGAGTTCTTTATACATTCTAGATACAAGTCTTTTTTTCCCAATAATGTATGATACAAATATAATTTCCCATTCTGTGGCTTATCTTTCCACTCTCTTAATGATATCTTTTGATGAATAAAAGTTATTAATTTTAACATAGCTTAACTTATCATTCTTTTTCTGTGGTTTGGGTTTTCCTACTATTTGAGAAGCTCCTCTTCTTAATAACACATGCCAAGCCTTTTTCCTTGTTAGTTTAAAATCCAAATTTAGCTGTGTAATATTGAACAGAATTTTGTAGCCTAATCAACAGCCATTTCCCACTTCCTCCCTGCTTGCAAAACAGAACTGACGGGAAAGGGGATTAGGGGAAATGTATGCCCTAAAAACAGAGTGGTCAAAGGCATTCCACACTTGACCCACTGAATCCGAATTCTTGGAATAGAACTTGGATGTGTATACTTTTTAAAAGTTCCCCCAGATGGTTTACTTATACCTTGGTAAGGACTACAAAGAAAAAAAAATCCCACAAGTGTCTGGAGTGTTATGGAAGAAAGGAGAGAATTTCAACTAGGGGTTGGAAAACAGGCTTAGATGCAGCTAACAGTAACTAACAGTGCTGTATTATATACTTGAAAGTTGTTAAGAGAGTAGATCTGAAATGTTCTCAGCACACACACACACACACACACACACACACACACACACACAAGACAATTACGTGAGGGAATGGAGGTGTTCATTAACTTTATTGTGGTAAAAATTTCACAATAGATATGCGTATCAAATCACCACATTGTACACCTTAAACTTACATGCGTTACATCTCAATAAGCTGAAAAAAATAATGCAAGGCATATGTGAAAACCAATAAGAAAGATACAGGCAGCAAGTATACCAATGATACTAAGCAACTCTAACAGATATTAATATTGTAGCCATATATACCAGAATGAGGATTCTAAAAGTAGATGTAGATTCTTTGTAACATTTGCAGAAATAAACTAATTAATAATAAGCAAATTATCTAATTTTAAAAGATTAAGAAAAATGTGTTGGATTTGACCTGGATCTTTAGTCAATAGTGAACTAAGAACACTTTAGTAAATGGGGGTGTATAGATTTTGGGTTACATGACATTAAGGATGGTGAGTAAGCAGTCAGAACACAAAACAAGGGTATATATCAAATATTTAAAGGAGAAAAGATGGTAATATAAACAGTTTTACAGAACCAAAGGAAAAAAATGATTTTTAGTTTTAAGATGTGAGACCCAAGAACATACAATCTTCGAGTATTAGAGTTTAGAGAAACCATAGGGATCATTTAGTCGAATTCCATCTGATACTTAAATTTCCTTTATAAAGTCCTAGACTTCTGTTTATATTTAAGTTCCTCTGTGGTGAGGTCTGCCATCACCTTCAGGGGCAGCCTGTTGTGTCTATGCATGGCTTTGAGTGAAGACTTTTCCTTATCATCATCTCAGAACTTTCCTCCTTAAATCCGACTCATTGTTATATTTGAAACAGGAGGACAGGTGTCAGTTGTGAGGGGAATGTCATAGCTATTAATACGTTTATTTAACGGCTTTCCAAAGGAAATGAAAAAAAATCTAACTTGACACTTTTTGAGAGGAAGAGAACACTGGATCAAACTTAAACTAATAGGACAGTGTAATAAATGGTTGCTCTTCAAGAATGACTTTTTGAAAGTTAGTCCTTTGTTTTATGTTCTGCAAGGCAAATATATAACCTCCCAATTTAGCTGTGTGGTATTTAGTATGATCACCACAGGTCAGAAATTTGAGGAGGAGCTATATCATTTACGAATGACTTTGGCTGAGAGCAATAGACTATCCAACTAAAAGTGCTCAAACCATATGACCCATAATATGCCACTTAACGAACGTATGGGAAGCAGGTGATGTCTGGGCACAAAATGACTGTTCTCGTGGCCTGCCCCTTCTGGCCGCCAGATGGCGTAGCTGTTCTAAACATTATAATATCCTCCGCGCTTCAGTCTCAAGCAGGAAGGAAGGAGACCTGCAAAAGGGCTTTTCTCTTTCTCTTGGTTTAAGTCCCACTAAGCTGGAAGAAACACTGAGGCTCCCAGCAGACGTCTTGGGCCACAGCTTGACCACATGACCATCGCTGGACTAACAAAAGGGAAATGAGAGTGCATGATTTCCTTAGACCCTAAAGCTGGGTACATCATTGCCCAATCGAAATAGGACTTTTATTTTATTTGTGTATTTTTTTTTAAGCCAGAAAGAAGTGGGGAAGAGCTGTGGGGTGGGCTACTAATAGCCCCTGCCAGAGGAGCTCGGGGGAAATTATCCACGCTAAATCCACCGGGCCCTGTGCCAAGGGTAGGACAATGCCTCTTCAGAAACTAGTAAAATGTTTTTCTTCCTCTGATAATTATTAATTCTCTGCAGTGACTTAGAGAAATTCTTGGACTCCATTTCTTGCTGTTAAATCCTGGATGAGTATAGAAGCTGACTGTAAAACGATTTTTAAAAGCCACTCTGCTTCTAACCCAACCTTCTTACTCTAGCTCTTATCTTACCACTGCACAAGTTGTACGAATCACTTCCAATTTACATATTATAGAAGAGCCTTACATGGAAAAGAATAAATCGTTTTCAAATTAGACATTCCGTCTAGAACTGACAGCAGCTGATTCCCAGCACTGTCTTTCATTTCTGACATGCTTTTAGATGACAGCAA